ACCACCATTGTTTATTTATTTCAGTACCATATAAATGTAAAGGCCTGATGAGCATTTATCGAAAAGAAACGCTTGTTCGCCAATTTATCTTCTGAAATTTTCCATGGGAATTTTCGCGGATTTTCCAATCATACTTTCGTAATATCCCCGTTCTTCGCCATTTTGAGAGCTCGGGTGCATCGGCATTTATTTCAACCATCTATTTTTATTTCTGTCGGATTAACTGTAGCGGAGCCCTTTTATATTTTACTGATTTTATAATAATTGTTTCACATCTTTTATTCTGCTACCAACTGCCGAGCCAATGTACTACAGGCTCGTCACCTTCTTATGAGTAAGTAATTCATTGAAATACATTTAGGTTTATATGACGTCATAAACTCTGGTGTTGGGACGAGCTGTTCTTGACCTTTCCCCAAATGGCTATGCTGCTGTCGGCGAACTATATGGTCTAGTGGGCAAACCGTCATCCTGGTTTTTTTCTCCAAACTCTTTATTCTAATGAATATGTTTTCGTCCTAAATGCCACCCCTTTAGACAGGGCAGGGCAAAGTGCACTAAATTCACTGTTCTCTCTGTCTGGAAGTAGTCAGAGACAATCGGTGTTTTCTTTCATGCACCATTCTATTAGATCGATGCATGATTGTGAATAGTTACCTACAAGGGCTGAATGTGTAAGTGCTGTGTTGATAGTGGCGAGCTAGCATAACCCTTATAAATTGAAAATCTGTGCCTTGGTTCTGCAGTCATGTTGCGATGGCTTCGCAAGTATCCAAACAGACCAGTAGATAAGTGGAATTTACGATCAAGAGGACAATTTGGCCCTAATTTACTTTGTTGATAATTGTTCCGTGGTTGCTTCAGTTTCCGATGAAACAAACTAGCAAAGTAACCTACCCATGAGAGCTAACAAAAAGGTTATCCTCATTGATTATGGACTTTTTGTTCGGGGTGTCATTTGAGTATACTGAACCCGTGGGGACGAAAGTAATGGAAGAGGAATTACCTCGCCGCTATTGACCTACGACACCTCAGTATTCCGTCCTTGTAGTTTTTCCTTTGACTGAAGTGGTCTTGTAGCGCTTTCGACCTTCCTCGTCACGCTACACATGAGGTCACGTGATTGGAGTTCTCGGCCTACCTCTAGGACAACTGCAAACTCTGCGCTACCGCTGCCGCGCACGTTGATCACTAGTACGCGCCCAGTCTTAGGCCGACCCATATCCGCTTGAAGAATCGCCTTCAGGGCTGACTCACACAAAGATCGCCCTCTAGGCGCTTGTGACGATTCCGCCCCCAAGCACATCGACTTCTGCAGTACGCGCCGGAATTCGTGCAACATTCCGACATATGTCAAAGATTGATACTTTTTCGCTAATCGGCATTGACTGGAGTTGTGATACTAATTATTGTGTAGTCTATTTTGATTTTATTTCAGTCAAATATGATGCGGACTTTTTAACGAGCTTCGTTCTGACCACTAAAAAAACGTATGTACTGTAGAAAGTAACTACTTTAACCGTATGCGTTTTTATCACTGATTTTGACAGTCTTTATAAATTCAAATATATCTCATAGAAAACATGCACGAACAAGTTATTTCTTGTATTCCTTTGGCAGCAAATAACGCCTTCTTTAAATTTTATACTCAAAGAAGGGGTATCTTTCGCTCTTAAAAAAGTTTCTCAATTGCCGTATAATTTGTAAACCTACTAACTGCTACATTCGAATTCAAGGTTTACAAACTGCGTACTGTATAAATCCTGTTTAAGGCAAAGTACGTTTTCGCCTACAGTTTGAAGAAGAATTCACAAAGTTCTCATAAACTGTTGAACTACATGTAGAACATACTTTATACAGTGTAGGCAGCATGAATAAGTTGACGGATACGATGTATTATAAATGAAAACCTCAAAATCCTACAAAAGCTCTTAAGTAGAAATTTTCATAAAACCAAAAGATACTCTTTCTTTGAGTATAAAGTTAAAAGAAGGCGTAATTTCCTACCAAACGAGTACAATAAATAATTTTTTTCGTGCATGTTTTCCATAAAATATATTTGAAGTTATAAAGGCAGTCAGAATCAATGATGAAAATGCATACTATTTAAGTAATTACTTTTACAGTACATACTCACACAAAGATCACCCTATAGGCGCTTGTGACGAGTCTCGCCCCCCACACACTTCGGATTCTACGTTGCTAGGTTGCTGACTTATGCCTGTCCGACAGTCAACCTCCTCCTACCTATTCTTCACTTCGTCAATAAGGAATAAACTATGACTCCGTTATGCAAGAGGAGAGGGAACGGAGAGATTGCTAACCCCCCCCCAACCCTCCCCAACACAAGAGCCATATAACCATTTTGTTCAACTGACTATTTATTCTCCGTTTCAGTGTATCGAGCTAATGACGAATGAACAGAACAAAATTGTCTGCCAAAACGAATTTTAAGGGTAAAATGGGAATTTTCGCAGAATTAAATTGAAAAATGGTCAAAGCCCCTTTGTTTCCATGACTACATTGTATCTTATGCACCGCGAAGTAGGCCAACTTCTGCATTTTTTACGTTCGTAAAGAATAGAAAAACTCTTATACGCTGGACACTACATACGTTTGTGTTCTTAAACGTTAAGTGAGAAATGGGAATTTAGCTTACGTGTTAATGTCTCGGCTGCTAAGATAGTTTGCATTCCTTTTTGTATAAATAAACATTCTTTTTTAAATCTTTACTTCAATTTAAACTACACTTAGTGCACTACAAGTTAGTTTGAAAGAATGAAAGCATCTTCTTGTCCGTGCCAAAGCATCGTGCTGTGCCACATATTACGTGTGATATATTCTGAGATTCAGGAGTTGACCTCCCCTCACTGTTGAGAGTCCCAGCTGCAAGGTAAGTGCCCACTGTTAGCAGTACATGTTGCTCTGCTTGTAAAATTCCGAGTACCTCACGCTAGGTGGTTATAAACGTGGGTGCGTTTTGCGTCTAAGCAGGCTTCCTTCTTCACACAAAATTAGGTAGACAGAAATATACACTCATTAGCAGACCGGACGACTTAGTTCGCGAATGACGGAGCACAAACGGGCGGTGCGGAGAGGCAACCCACTGTCCCAGATCGCTACCCACACTCTGTAAGAAGGCCACGTATCCGACTTCTCGGGCACACGGATAAGGGCACGAGCCAGCAATAAGATGGGGCAATAACTGCTGGAGGCCTGGATGTCAGATCCTAAATACATCAACAGGTATGTGGGTATACCGCCCTGTTGTTCTGCCATCCGTTCTGTCGACCAGAAACCACGGCCCAGTTACTGTATAAGCACACAGACTGCCACGTCAAGGTCACACGCCATAACTCCAGGGACGCGCGCAGGGGACACACCATAAGATGGCGTGAGCATGGACTGGCGTGGGCATGGACAAATCACATGTGCCAACCCCCTCCCATCCCCATTTATGCGTAGCCAACGCTTGCTGCTTTTTCATTTTCTCTGACGATGGCTCAGAAGAATAAAATTGTCGTTACAGAGATCGCGTCTTTTTCTTCTTTACAACAAGAACCTGGGGCACGCATATTTGCTACTACTCATTAGCATGCCATTCGTTCGGCTGGACCAGCTGATTACGCTAGCTGAGGTACCCACAGCCTCTTCGAGGCAGGGTACTGTAATAGATACCCGCTGTATTGCAGGGGGTCCTCCGCTAAATTCAAAGGGAGGATATAAGTTGATTTAAGAGGGCTAGTTTGAGTGTTTCCCTAGTATGAGCGTTGAAATGACAGCTATCGCCCTATAACCCACCCTTTCTCATTATCTGCCCTTTCTCGTTTTCCCAGGGATGTTAAAAGTCGCAGGAAACAGAATCAAAAGGTCATATATATTCTGTTTCAGAAAGTGAGTAAAATGTCATCAACACAAATGGTGACTTCGTGTTTTGCGCAGAAGTGAACCAAAGTCAGTTGCCACGGTAAAAAATTGTGGAAAATAAACGGTACAAGTGCACCGAAATAAAGAGGCATTTTCTCCGTTTGCTCGAAACCACCAAGTAGGCTGTTATCGGCATTTCTAAGATCGCAGTTTGCAGGCCGTACTGCTGCAATGCACAAAATAGGTACTAGGTTTTAGAAATAAAACTAAACTGTACCTTTCGATTTTTATAAAATCGTTGTAAAAATTGCAGTTTCTTGCCATAAATGAAGATTAAAATAGGGTACACAAATAAATAATCTAAAATACTAGCGTCCGGGCTTGAAATGCCACTGCGGTATCGCATTACATCCATGCAAGAATGGCAGCATATCTATCGCAAACGCTAAAAAAGTTATGCTGGTCTTTAGGTGTTATATCAAAAGGCCTCGGGATGCGCGGGCCTAGAAGGCAGTGTCAACGGCTGTAGAGTAATGATAAGTATGTTCAGGGTAAAATAAAGGACTAAAAGTTTTAAAAGTGTTCCCATAAGTATGATATAAGCTAGTAAACTGTTGTTAGGGGTTTGGCAGATTTCAATAATTCGATTGACCAATTGTGAAAGGTTTGCGGCCTCGATGGGAGTCGAACCCATATCAGCAGTGAAGGGTTTTGCGCAGCCAACGGACGTAGTAAGCTGACTGCCAGGCAGGTTTTCCTGACCGTATTGGTGAATTCCACACGTGCAGTAAAGCTGGTCAAGCAGATCGAACCAATTGTGATTAAATTCACGGCGCATGATGAGCCTCGTAGATCGATGGTAGAGCGTTGGCTGCATAAATACCTTCCCTGCTGTGTGGGTTTGACTCCCACCGAGGCCACGATATGTTCACAGTTTGGTCAACTGAAATAGTAAACTATCTGTCTCAAAAACTGGTTACTTCTTAATAATCCTAAATTGCCTTCGGCATTTTTCATATTTACGTCTACAGCCTACAGAAAGGCGAAAGTTGGGCCAGGTGAGCGAATAGCGCGTTGTGATTCTCAAAACGACTGTTGGGGTTCTAGGCTTCGGCTGGGGCAGCTTCTCCACCCTCCGGCGCGCCCTCACCACTGTCTCCTTCTCCCTCTCCCTCTTCAAAATCTAAAGGAAGGATATTTGGAATTAAAAAAATTCAAATCGCGAGGATTCAGAAGGCTAATTTGCGAGCATACATTTTGCTTTCGATAAATTGTCGCCAAGCGGGATCAAATGAAAAATTCAAGCTTTTTTGGCCTGTAGTGGGTGTTAGTGCCACTGTGGAAACCCGTGATCACTGACCCATCGCGCCCCACTGCTGTTGACGAAGTGTCTTTGGGACCAGGCACAAGCGAGCGCGCCCGGCCTTCCTGTTGTGACTTCAATCCGTCTGGACAAACCTCAAGGCCGTGGCTGCTCGAGATGCACTGATGCACGACCTACGAATGCACCCACGCGCTGTCCAACCAATGACCTTCAAGGTTGCAGCCAACGGTGGCCGACCGAATGTCTGCTCCCAGACATCACGCAGGACCTAGCCCGCCTGGCAGCTAGACGTGCACTCTTGCAGTCAAAAGTTCGTCCTAATTATTCTCCAATTCATTCTGTAAAGAATATATTCTTTCTACTACTCTAGCCCTCCAAGACTTCCCTCACTTCTCCTAAGGAACCGGACTCGGAAGATCGCAGCCGTTATGGTTTAAGCCTTTCTGAGCCTTTACACACCGCAATATCCCTATGCCCATAGTTAAGCCGCAGATCCCAATAGATTTGGTCTGTATAAACCAGGTTTCTGTGGTTGTGGCCTAACGCGCTTTATTTTATATGCTAAAGACAGTTAGGGGGTAGATTGGTAATTTTATTTCATGCCTGACAACCAGCGAAAGGAAGAAAATTAGAAAGAATATGGATATTTTAAAACTAGAATTGTGTTATTTTCTGCTTGTAAGCATATAAACTATCTTTCAGGCTAGCTCAAGAACACTTACACTCAACACTATCGGATCAGATGAGAGAACTTCAAAAACTAGTGATATATAAAAGGCGAATCAATTTTTTGACCCAGCTCTAGTGATTGATTCGCATTAAAGTTGAAGGTACAGGTGCAACTCTTCGAATATCGCGTGGTGTTTAACGCAAGGCTGTTATGACGGCCATTTTTTGACAGGGGTTTGCGATCACGTTGCCCATCAAAAAACGTGCCTTCTTTGATCTCTTACTCCTCTTTGCATTCCGTTTCTCTCGGTGCACTCTAGATCTTCAGAAGCCGTTTCTTGCCATAAACTACGAGCATCAAATGCAACCTATGACCAAATCGACATGCAGTGATTATGGAACAAAAGCTTGCGGTCCTCGACATCGATATAACGCAGCATACCAAAGCGGGCACGTCCAATCAAGGCCTCTTGGTCAGTTTGCTTTTAAATAGTGGACTGTTTCACGCATTAGGTTAGAGAAACTAAATGTCCCAGCATCCAAAATGTACCCACTGCGTATCGACGTTAAAACTGTGCTTTCTCACCCCCGGGCAACTCAGTTTTCTGCGCTTGCGAAAAATCTAACCGAACTTTCTCCAATTTAGATGCAAATAGGTATTGCTAGTTAGTCCCTACTGAGCCACTGTGAATGGTTTACTTAAGAAAAACTAATAATGAGCGGCTGGCTACTCCTTATGCTTACCTTCGCCTTCACCTTCACCTTCGCCGTCTTCACCCTCACCTCCACCTTCACCTTCACCATCAACGTCTGAAATAAAATCAGTCAGTTTTTCAATCAGTGTACCAAGGAACAAAAGGATGAAAACTTTTTTAGCCAAGAATAGCGCCCTCTTCGGACAAAGATTTGGTGAACTCATAGTACTCCACCTGAAGACGTGGTACACTAATGAACAACTTCCCGCCTATTATTCTATTTGTTGGGAATGCGCCCATTTCCATGATAATTTATCTCACAGAAAGGCCCACGACCTCATCTGTCATGAGGGCGCGATGTGACTATCGATTTTTCCTCCTATCTGATTGGCCCATTCACTCAGCTATGTCCCTCGCGTTCCTTTCTAAGTACATTCAGCCTTGTGTGAGAATGACTTGTGCTGACTTGCTGTAACGTGCTTGTTTGACTAAACGCACACTCTCTCTGGCCGACTGACCTTTTCTCTCTCTTGCTTACGGTCTCTTTATTAACCGTCGTGTTAATTACTAGTACCAGGCGCGAGTCGTAACACTATTCTACTATATGCCTGCATTTAAGGCGCGTGAAGTTTGGTAGCGTATTCTCTTTCGGGTGTGGAAAAGTTCGCTTCTATCGCTAGATTATGATATCTGACTGTGTCAGCGACTGCGATACTCCAGACGTGTCTTTATCCGTTATATTCATTGATATATTCATGCTCGTCGCCTTCCAGAAGAACGTTAGTGCTGGAGACTGGGCTTTGAGGAAAAGAGGGATCAGATGCGTTCAACCCGCTGGTTAGGATGCAGTGGTGACTCCCGTAACACGCGGCTGTAAATGTTCGCAGCAGATAGAAAATGGCCCAGATTTCATCTGGTAGTGAGTTTGCCTCTAATGTTTCCTGCAAAATTGAACCGCATATAACTGCCTTATATCGGGATGTGTCTGGTTATTAATAGCAACTAAACCCGAACTATTTGTCACTATTTCCCTCAAATTTCAGCGATATTTCCTCAGCAAAAAATAACATTTCCTTGGCAGAACTACGCTTCGCCTTTGCCTAAACTGGTTTTAGTACTCTGCTAGCAACGGGCTCAACTTACATGTATCCGTGTCTTGACCTAAAATGCAATAATCAAGACCATCAGTAAATGTGCGTAATCGATAAAAGGAATATCGGCAAAGACACGCAAATGTCTAGAATTTGTCGAAAATAATTCTGCTTAATTTATTTTTAGTTGGGATATTATCGGTGCAAATGAGTTGAAATTCCCATTTGGGGTATGCGCTAGAAGACAGCCGAAAGAAATTCATTTATAGTTGGGACATTTAGGCAGAACCGTAAGACACAATTGAGTAATCGGTATTTATCTTAAAGTGGAAGTATTTAACGCACTTTCTTGCTTATACCAATTATACTACAATTTCAAAGGGTTTATCGTTCATGTTAAGATGTTGTCTTAGTTTTACTCAGAAGTAACAGTTGTCCTGTGAACCCCATTCACAGTAAAAAAGACGTACTCTCTCGCACCTTTTTCTATCGTCAGAAGTTTTTTCTTGCTTGATTTCGAGGCAGCCATAAAAGTTGCGTCAAAATCCTTTCAAGACGGGTACACCGGGTACGGGTGGAGTAGTAGGGAGGAAGTGAGGTAGATTCCTCGAAAATCTACTTTCACTATTATGCAGCGCAAGTCACCGTGTTTACCTTCAGTTTGCCGAAGCTCGTGGCGAACGTAGTCAC